GGTGGCTCCTAGCTTACTACCTGCAATTTTCCACCTACAATTCTGAAACAAGTACTGTGCTTGAATTCCTGTTGCTATTTGTTTCCATTGGCATAAAGCAGAAGCACTTAAGAGTGAGCTGGTCTTAAGTACCCTCTTTCTGGCTTCCATCCAGCCCATCCATTGTTCTGTGTTACCCCCCTTGCATTGCTCCTGGACTTTCATGTTTTCTTACCCTCTGTGTTTTTGTCTGCACTGTTTCTTACACCTACATTGCTTCCTACTGCCTGCATGGTTAATTCCTTGTCTTAAAACTCTGCTCAAATGTCACCTTTCCATGGTATATTATGTAACAAAGCTGAGTTGACAGGGTCCCTGAAACACTTCCATGATACTTTGTGTTTTGCTTGCTCAACTATAGAATGTCTTGCATTTCTAACCACTGATTTCTTTATTTGATTATCACACTGGACTACACATACTATTTTTTATGTTAGCATATAGTGTTTTATTATAGCATTTTATATATTCCATCATAGTCTCATTTTCTCCTTCCCTGGTGTCCTCCCTGTCCTTCCTGCTGCCCTCTTGCTTAACCCTTCTTGACAAATGGCCTCCCCTTCTGCTTTCATGTCGTATATATAACATTGAGTATATACCACACATCTATATCATCTGCCTCTTCAGAAGCTCTTATGCCCTTCATGGTCTCCTTTGTACTTACACACACATTTAGAATCTGCATATAAAAAAGGGGGACTTGGCTGAGTCTGGCTTATTTTGCTTAGCATGCTAATTTTAGTTCCACAATTTTCCTTCAAATGGAAGGATTTCATTTTTATTTATGGCTACATAAAACTCCATTTTGTATATATAACACACTTTCCTCATCTATTCACTTGTTGGACCTTTAAGTTAGGTCTTGACTATATCTTGTGACTAGTGCTGCAATAAACATGGATGTGCAGGTATCTCTGTGACTTGCTGATTTTTTATCTTTTGGATATATACTGAGGAGTGGTATAGCTGGATCATACAGTAATTCTATTTTTAGGATGTTTTGTTTTGATATACTGAATTACTTTCCTGTAGCTATATAACCAATACTAGAAGTCCTGGATCATTGTATATGTGGTATTTCTCCTTTTAATTTTTCAGATTAATTTTGTTTTTTTGACAATTTGAATTATCTATATATTGTGTTCTGATTACTCTCTCATGCAACCTTTGTCTCCTCCCATCCCTATCAACGTGCCCCCTTCCTGATCAGTCCCCTTTCAGATTCATGTTTTCTTCCTTCCAGTGGAAATTTGATGCTGATTTCCATGGTGGCTAAACCAGTTTTACATTCCTACCAGTAGTGACTAAGTATTCCTCTTTCCCTAGACTACATACACATCACGAAGCCAACAGTTATGCCAGTAGGGGTTAATTATCTTTCCTCATTACCAAGTGAGCTCACATACTATGCATTGAGCTCTTGTCAGCTTGAAATAGCTGTTCAGTTGGTGAGTTAGTACCTTGTAACATTCAGGATTCAATATGATAGTTGCCGTCTAAAGCTCTAGGCTGATCAAGGGAAATCAAATTATATTTATTTGTTGTTATTTTCTGTAAGGAGCCTGGCAGTATGTGATGGCTATACATATTTCTCCTCCAATGACTGCTTTTTATGGAGGGATGACTGCGTATAAGTTCTGGTTTGGGTTTTTTGTCTGTTTGTATTTTGTTTTTTAAGGGATCACTTTTGGGGAACATCTCATTTACTGATAATGAATGCCAGTGACGTTATTTTGATGTAAAAATCTGTCTGTTGGGAAGTGCTGTCATTTTAACTTAAAATGGAGACTTTTGAAATATCATTGTTTCTGTTCTCAATTGTCCTTTCTCCACATCTAGCTCAAGACTGCAGTGCAGATGAAGACAACTTCCTTGTGCCCATAGCAGTGGGAGCAGCCCTGGCAGGAGTACTTACTCTAGTGTTGCTGGCTTATTTTATTGGTCTCAAGCGCCATCATACTGGATATGAGCAGTTTTAGATCCTACAATCTGATTGATTATATTACAAAATTCGTTCATGATTGTATTATAAAATGCGTTCAAATAGTAAGGTTTTCTTGCCTCTCAGTGTATGAAGCACTTTGTTCCTTGGAACTTTCATTCCTAAATCGGCCCCATCATTTTGAGATGTCTTTTTTTTTTTTTAAAACTGTTCTCTGATCCACTTAAAATGCAGACTGGCTTAAAAAAAAAAGACACATATGTGCAATATTTTAAGATCTGTCTTAAGAAGCTTTGGCCAAATTGGGATCCTAACCTGAGATGCCTTAAACTTATTAATATGACCATTATAAAAAGACATACAGAGTTGTATCTTACTGAAATTAATAAATACTGCTTCACCACGGGTGTTTTGTTTCGATGTGTAACAGCTGTCCTGATTTAAACTCATTACAGCTATGCCTTTGTATATAGTTCAAGGCTTAAAATACATCAGATATGCTAAGACTTGGTTTTCAGGGGTGTTAAGTAGAGATAGTCCTAGGGCCATCCACATTTTTATAAGACCTAAAGAGAAACCAGAATATTACATCTTTTTAAGGTTATGACTTTCACTGTTACCTTTGACTTCAAATTAAATATGAAATTAGATTCTCAAACTTGTGATTTTTCCCTAGATTAAAAACAGGCTGAGGAGGCTATAAGAGAACTCAAACTGGCTTCTTAATTAGAAGGATTTTTTTTGAGGGGAGGTTGTTTTATGAGTGAAGAGTTTCTGTAGCCTTGGCTGATCTGGTACTTGCTATGTAGTCCAGGCTGGCATCAAACTCACAGAGATCCGCTTGCGTTGGCTTGCCAGATTCAAAGATCACAGGCATGTGTTACCATGCCCAACCTGGGCTTTTAAGGAAATGTTTATTTTTCAGCAATATAGGCTGCAAAGAGTCAAACATTAACCACTTGCCTTGTTTTCCTCCTCTTTGGATGCCTGATTAACACTAAAAGATAGAAGATTCTATGAACTAATTAGGACAGATTGTGTTGTGTTTCTCTACCTCATCTTGTTGATCTCTGGAGCATTCAAATCTATTTAGTGTTGTCATCAGACTGGTACTTATGAAATGTAAGCTAACAGCAATCTCAGAAGGGAGGCAATGAAGCACAGCATCTTTGCTCTTGCTTCTCCAAGATAGCCGCTGTGGGGCACCGTGTTGAGAGGCATTAAAATTAGCTAGACAGCTAGTCCAGATTGAAACATTTTCATGGTAAAAGTGAGGTGCTGATGGAATATATAAATAAATCCAAAGATTTAACAGATGAGACCATGTTCATACTGAAATGATCATTAATTCATTCTAATGTGTATATTGGCTTGTTCAGAGTTTCTGTCACGTACTAATTAACAGTACAAATGTGTTTAGGTACCCAGCTGTCAGTGTCTGTTAGGGAGCTTTCAGTAAAACAGTACCTCCAAAAAAAAAAAAAAAGCTAATTGTAGTTACTGAAATTCACATTATGTTTTCAGAAGCGTGACCGTGTTTGTGAATGACAAAAGTGTAAGAAGAGGAAATCTCAGAGGATATATGCAGGCTGTTGATGGATCACAGATCACACAAAACATTATAATTTATTCATTGCTTTAGCCTTGTACTGAAAAGACCTTAGAGATTATTTACTTTTAAGTCTAGAACTGTATGGAAAGGGATATGACTTCACAGATGTTTGATGTGTGGTAGCAATGAACCCACTAGTATTTGGATTAAAATCTGAATAAAATTCAGTCACTCAATAGTAAAATGATGACAGATTTAAGCTTGAACTTTTGAGAACAAAGGTAGGCACTTTGAGTTGTCCTTTGTTTTGCTTTTTTGAAATAATGAATATAGGCCTTCTTAGTCATCTATTAAGACACACTTGTTAGGATTTCTGTGCTGTCAAAAGTCAAGCCTCTGCATCATAAATATAGGAGGAAAAGGGAAGGGAGTGAGTAATTGTGGATCACTTGTTATGGGTCAGATACTTTAAAAATATACTTAATCCTGAAGGACCTTATGATGTAGGTGTCAGTATCCCCTTTTAATAGTTGAAGGAAGTGAGGACCAGCTTAAATAACTTGACAAAGGCCTTAATTTAGGTAGTCCTGCAAAGAGTCTGATTTCCAATTCAATTATGTCTTAAGTCAGAGTTTAGTGCCCACATTGCTCATGCTGTAGTCTGGTAAATCCATGGGATGGACTTGTATGCCTTAGATTCTGCTCTTTTTTTTAAGCAAGGCCATCAGTTAGCTAAAAAGAATTACATGTAACCTGTGAGCTGCCTAATGCTTAAAATAATGATACTGGAGTATTCGTTGGTCTTGCAGAGGATCTGGGTTTGGTTCCCAGCACCCACATGCCAGCTATCACCCACCTGTAACTTAATTTCTGGCCTCCAGGGCACGGAACACATGTATACAGACATACATGCAAGACATCCACATACATAAAATACAAATAAATTAATCTTTAAAAGAACTATAGCACATTATCTTGATCCTGTCTATTACTTGTACAGAATTATTTTTTTCCAAATGTGCTTGCTATGGAATCCAGGAGCCTTAGGCATGCTAGGCGAGCACTCTAGCACTGAGCTAGATCCCCATTCCCACTTAAATACCTTAAGGCTAGATGTGGCAAGGGAGAAGGAAATGGGGAGATTTGGAGTCAGTTTCCCTAATGCTGTTGGGCAACTCTAAAATTCTATACACTAATAATACAACTATATTGTATAAGCTTAATTCTGAATTTGAACCCTTTCCCATTTTCCCTTTTTGTACGAGAAATTTGGTAATTTTACATGAAATGTTAAGAAACAATGGCCTGTAGCTATGGAATGTTTGGGTGGTTACTGAGAAAATAAGGGAAATGCTCTAAAAAGATTAGCATGTGTCTACACTCTCAAAATGCTTCCTGTTTGCTTCTATCTCATTGCATTCTTTACTAATTTCCTTTCTTTGCTGTCTGTCTGTTCTTTTCTAACAGCTGAAGAATGTGCTGCTGACTCTGACCTCAACTTTCTTATTCCTGTTGCAGTGGGTGTGGCCTTGGGCTTCCTTATAATTGCTGTGTTTATATCTTACATGATTGGAAGAAGGAAAAGTCGTACTGGTTATCAGTCTGTATAATCAAATCAGTCTAGTGCTTCCATTGGCTAAAAGCCAAGAATTGCTGTGCGATTGAGATTCACAGACTGACTTCAGTGAGTTGCAAGCTGGCTTGGGCATGAGTAATACTTCAAAAATGTATTAGGACCAGTTTTTCACCCCTTCATTTTCTTCTCCATTTGTTAAGATGTAATTGAAAGAAAACTTACACTTTAGACTATGCCTCTTTAAAGTAAATAATTTTAAGCATCTGGATCCAATTTTGAAAGCATTTTTACTGAAGTATAATTTTATATGTTTCAGTTAGTTGTATTTTGCTACTTTGATGTTATTTGCAAAATCAAAGATGGTAGAGAATTTAACTTGCTTCCTGAAATAAAGTTTAAAACTTAATTCATCTTCTTTGATGATAAACCTAAAATTTGGCTCAAAATAAGAATGAGTTTCTTCACCTTCTAAAGAGAATTATTTAAATCTGTGTAATTCTTTTACTTAAAAACGGGGTATGGGGTATATCCCAAGTGGTACTGCATGTATATGTGAAGTTCTGAATTCTACCCTTATAACTGCAAAAACGTTTGTAAACAAAAATGCACTCAACAGAAAACTCTGCCTGTTTTTCCATTACTGTGAGAGCTACTATATTCTAACAAGGATTTTTCTTTTTTTCTATTTTTTTGGGGGGCGGGGCAGGGGCTTCTGCAGTTTGGAACATATTGATTATATTTACACTACAAGATAAAGCAACACTGTCAGCGTTTTGTAAGTGGTTGATTTAGGATGGGCTATGTGTTTTCTAAGGCTGTGATTTAGAACTGTTTTGCAGCTTTTAACTTGTTTAGAAAGTTAATTCATCCTGTATAACAAAAGAAAACCCCTCCTGTATACTTTTTGTGCCTCAGTGAGCTCAAATTGATATTTTAATGCATTGACTTCTTCCTCTCACAGTTAGCACGTGCTAACTGTGGAATCTAGTGGGCCCTGACGTGCCATCCATCAGGTGGCCGCCTAACCAAAGCTCGGCTGGGATGATTTTAGAAATTTATTTGATAAATGTATATCCCTGTAGGGGCCACTAATGCCTCTGGCTTCTGAAGTAGGGTAATAGAGACTACTCATCCTTATGTTTGCTGGATTCTTCAGCTGCTGAGTTTCTTGAAGTTTAATACTGTGCATGTTTAGGTCCCAAATGTCAGCTTTGCACACCTGATATTATCATGAGGCAGATGTTGATTTCCTTGAGCTATTTTCTCTACTAAAAACAGAAGAATCCAAAGATCTGCTTCAGAAATTTTGGTTAAGCCTAAAATATTGATCTTAAGTCTCAGTGATGTTAGTTTCTCAGTGATGTTAGTTTGGTAGCAGATCCCAGGATCAAGTCCCAATCTACCTCTAAGCACAGTGCGGCTCCTCACCACTATGCTGCTGTCAAGAATTGATGCCAGGATATTTTGCCATTAACTGCGGTTATGGAATTTTGTTAAAAAGAAAGCAAGTTTGTCAATTTGCTTCCCTATTGTCTGTATGTCCACCTCAAAAGCAGAGACTCCCAACTGGGTAGAATACTGGGTTATTCAATCCCATCTCCTTTAGCAGAGTCAAGTGCTCCATTTGCTCCAATATATATAGAATGGCTTTTAAGAAGATGTCCTCCAATGGCTTCCGCTTATTTGTTATTTAGTCACTTGATACAATAAAGAATAGTGGCTTTATTTCAATACATATTTTGGATGCTTCTCTAGAAGCCTGATTAATTAAATGGACTTTTTGGCTTGCTAAGTATATGACTTGAATATTCAGATAGCTTCCAAAAGTATGGGTTTATTTAAAACCTTTCTACTTTTGAGCAGGAAACTAATGTTACTAATTCTTTATTAGGTGTCATGGCTTTATCGTAGATAATTAACAGCAGACATATCTTTTATTCTTTGAGCAGTAAAATACAAAATAATAATAGGTTAAAAACACTGCTTCAACTCCAATCAAATATAGGAAGTTCAAAGTCTATGAACTGAGTTGAGTGTTCAATTAGCTTTTCTCTGTGCATTCATTTTATACCAGTACAACCAGTGGATCAGACTAAGACTTTGAACTCATGAATGGTGAATCATTTTCCACCTAAGCCTCTTTGGAAGAACTGATGCTTGCTGCTCTTTCAAGTTTTGCATTTGTTCATTTAAGGAACTAATGAATCGGGGACAAATAAAGTATGTTATTCATTTGATCTCCTAATGTGTGATTTTGGATTGATACATTAAATCTAATAAAGGTGATACATTCCATGTCACAATGGTTAACTTCATTTTTATTCTGTGTGCGCAGCCTAAAGAGCTCAGATTGATTTGTATCTTTAGATCCTGTTCTTTTGACGTGTCAGCAGGAATCATGATCTCAAAGGTCTGCAACTTGACCAATTCCCACTGTAAGGAAGAGACCAGAACCTTTTTAATAGACAACTCAAATATGAGGGCCTACATAATCATGAAGATGCCAAGAAAATACCCAAACCAAAATGTATACATCAACAACTCTAACTTCTTTTTTTAAAAAAAAATTATATATAAATTGGAACTTTAGTAAATCCATTAAAAGCAGGGCAGTGACTGGGTCCTGATATTACGGGCTTTGGGCTTTCAAGGCAGCCCCATGACCACACCCAGTCTTCCCCACCAGTAAGGTAGAGAAGACTAAGATGCAGTCAAGCAGCCATCCTTGTAGCGATAACTTCTACTTGAGGTTCAAAAAGGAGCTGAGGACAGATGTCCACAACATGGCTCTGCATTCTAGTTATGAACTAGAGAGAAATAGCTCAGTATTTTTTCCCTTGGAAAGGGGACAGTTGTGAGCTGCCATGTGGGTGCTGGGAATTGAACCCGGGTCTAACCAGAAGAGCAGCTACTGCTCCTAACCACTGAGCAATCTTTCCAGCCCTAACTTCTGTATAAATGTATTTAAATGTTTGTGAGCACCAATGACCTATACTCATCACTGACGTTCATTCTGATCAATAGATGCTTTCCAACAGGGGCAGGAGAGGAGCTGAAAGGTTCCCTGAATTCCTTGCAATCCATCTGCCTACTCATTTGTTAGATGGCTAGGTTAAGTAATAACTACTCCTTTATTTGCATAACTTCAGATATTTTGGTGGGAGAAGGAATTTAGCACTGACTCTCAATTGTTCTTAAATGTTCGCATTTCATTTTGTGACTGACTGCTACATGTTTTATGCAACCTCCCCCGCCCTGCTTTTTTTTTTCTTCCTTTGTTCTAGTCAGGGTTTCTCTGTGTAATACCCCTAACTGTCCTGGAACTTGTTTTGTAGACCAGGCTAGCCTCGAACTCATATCACCTTGCCTCTGTCTCCCCCTTTCTCCCCTCTGAGATATGATCTCACATAGCGGGGCTTTGAACTCCTGAGCCTCCTCTACCTCCTGGGTATTGATGTTATAAACAGCACTGTCATGCACAGCATTAACAGCTTTAATTGGGAAAATGGCTCTACACAGTATTTGGTGGGATAGGTCAGGGAAGAAGGGAATTTCTACAGAATATTTTTTGTTTCAGCTCCTTTACTGAACATATTTCACAATTCAGTACCTTACTTTAAGATTACAGCTAGCAGCCAGGCAGTGGTGGCACACACCTTTAATCCCAGCACTCAGGAGGCAGAACTAGGTGGATCTCTGTGAGTTCGAGGTCAGCCTGATCTACAGAGCGAGATCCAGGACAGGTACCAAAACTACACAGAGAAACCTTGTCTTGAAAAAAAAAAAAACCAAAAAACAAACAAACAAACAAAAAAACACTCACACACACAAAAACAAACAAACAAAAAAACAAAATTACAGCTAGCAAGAGGAGTATGTGTGTTGCTGGTAAGGGTTTCTATGGCTCTGAGTCAACTTGAAGGATCACCCTTTAAGTTCATTATGTCTAATCCTTGAAAGCTAATACTGTCTTTAGAACCCTGGGGAAGCATTTCCTCTTTTCCATTACTTTTACTGTTTCTGTCTTTTGGAGGCACTGTAAATCTGGATTGCTTTGTTTCAAGAGGTATGTACAGTGAACAACAATGCATTTTTAATAGTAAAGCAGCTCTGGTTTTCTTCTCCTTCCCTCCTTCCCTCCCTTTCTCTCTCTCTTTCCCTTGAGACAAGGTCTCACTATGTAGCCTTACCAGCTTTGAACTTCACAGAGATCTTCCTGCCTCTCAGGTGCTGATGCTAAATTGTTGCACCACGCCTGGAGGCAACTCTAGTTTAACTGAGCAACTCCAATGCTAAGCTCTCGGAGACACACATTGTTTCATTTGGGACAGTAATTCTGAGGTTGTATATTATCATTCCCCATTTAGAGAGGTGAGATCACTGAGCATTGAAGTTAGTGGGCCACGCTGACATCTAAGCTCTGCTTTGTCTGTCCACATAGACGATGGTATTTAGCATTATACATCCAGCCCTTCTAAGAACTTATAAAGCATTTGCCTTATATTAGTTACATAAACCCGACTTTTGTGCTCTACCAGCTTGCCTATAAATCAATCCATAAATGTTCACTAGTCGAGTTTTGAATGGTGAATGAATGTTGTGGCAGCATGCCTTTTGAAAGTTCAGTGCCTGTTTACTGTGTACCGTTTTACTGATGTTAAGCTCTGGATGTCATTTTTCCCCCAAGCTAGCCTCATTCAGTTATTCTGATCACGTATCATTATCATTCTGCCCTTAAATTCTTCTGCATCATGAATCATTTTGACTGTGCATTAGTGTTTAAGAAACTAAATGGCACTCTCTCTGTCCCCGCTTTCCTTAAATTGATGTCACTCCTGTCCCCGAGTCATCCCTTGGCTTTAAGTGCACTGTAGCTATGACACTTGGCAGTTTGAGCCCTGATAACACAGCTCCTACTCCCAAATCTAGAGCAGTTTTGAAAGAGTTTCTAGAGAGTCTTCCCTTCATATTTAAATTTCTAGCCATTATCTGTAGCCTGCTTTGTCTAGTACATTCCTGTACTCCACTTTAGCCATGTTGACCCTCCCAAGGGTGTGCTCATCTCAAGGCCCTTGCACTTTCTGTGCCTTCTACCTGGAAAGCTTGTTCCTAGCTCTCCTCATAGCTCACCCTGTCACCCCAGTCAAGTCTTCTGAAACTGTCATCTTGTCAGTGAAGCATTACCTGCCCAGCCTGTTGAAAATGGCACTCCAGGGCTGAAGAGATGGCTCAGTGGGTAAGAGTACTTGCTCTGCAAGCTTAAGGACCTGAATTTGAAGCCCTAGCTGGGTATGGCCATGAATACTCATAACCCCAGCACCAGGAGCAGAGACAGGCAGATGGTGGAAGAGCTTGCTGGCCAGCCAGATGAGTTGAAATGGTAAACTTCAGGCCGGTAAGAAACTCCATGGTTTTTGTTGTTGTTGTTGTTGTTGCTATTGGTTACTGTTGTTATTTTGTGTGTGTGTGTGTGTAGGGGTGGTTATTGTTTCATTTTCATTTTGTTTTGAATTTTTTTTTACTGTTTTTTTTTTTTTGTTTTGATTGAGGTAGGGAGAGGAACAGAGAAAACATGAAGTTGAGTGGGTAGGGAGATGGAGGAGTTGGGGGAGGGGAATATGCTAAAAATATTTTGTAGAAATCCTGTTTCAAAGAAATAAGGCATAGACCAGGGCCTTTGCATGTGCACATAGACATACATACACACACACACACACACACACACACACACACACACACACACACACACGATAACAGCATTCCTATGACTTTCCATTCTCCTTACCTTGTGTCACTTATCTGCATCAGATATGCTGTGTCCCTTACTTGTTAATGTATATTTCAAGTCTGTTTCCCTCTAGAAGATGAATTTAGTGAGAACAGGAGTTGGTGGTGAATCTTTTATTCTATCTCAATACCTAAAACACTGCCTGGCATATGATTTGTGCAGGAAAAAAAAAACCTTATTGAATGAATGAACAATCATGTCATATAACAGCTAAACATTTATTAAGCACCAAATGCCTTAGTCCATCATGTCTAAGATCTATCAATTGTAAGATCAATATTTCCAATTATAATATAAGAGGCCTGCTGATTTCAAAGATGTTAAAAATTGGAATAAAAAGGATTTTGGAATTTTCCAGGCACCATGGAGAGTGCTGTACATAGATTATATCATTTGCCATTAATCATTAACTAGTAATGAATAGCATGGAAGCAGATAAAGCCAGGGCTCTTATACACTCTCTCATTTCAGCCTTCTATAGGACAACATACCAGTTCTCTCTTTTTTGAAACTTTTAATTACATTTCTAGTTGGTGTCCATGCAAGCACGTATGTGCAGAGGTCAGAGGACCACTTGTGGGAGTTGGTTCTCCCTCCATGATGTGAATCTCAAGGATCAAATCCAGGTTACCAGGCTTGGTGCCAGTTGTGCTCACCCACTGAGTCATCTCATTGACATGTGGGGGCTGGAGAGATGGCTCAGCAGATAAGAGCACTTGCTGCTCTTGCAGAGGACTTGGGTTCAATTGCCAGTACCCATATGGCAGCTCAAAACCATCTGTAACTCTTGTCTCAGGGGATTGGCTCTTATGGTCCCCTTTCTAGTTTCATGATCAATAACCATACCCACAAAACCACAAACGTATAAAGTTAAAAAAAAGTGTATTTTTACTAGGATCCACATGACAATGTGTGTGATAATTGTCTGGTATGTCACTTAACGTCATTTCTAGTTCCACTTATTTTCCGGTAAATGTTATGATTCTTTTTTTTAAAAAGTTTTATTTTTATTTGTATGTTGTAGATGAATTTCTAAATGGTCTTATTAAATAAAAAATACGGAGCCAAATATAGGGGTGAAAGCCTTAGATCAGGTAAATAAGGAAAGCCACCAGCCAACCTTACCTCACCAACTCTGCAGCTTCCAAATGTGAGCTACTTCCTGTCTTACCTACGCCTTTATTGCCTTGTTCTGCCCTCTCATTGGCTATCTTAGCCCAGCTACCTCACTTCCTCTTCCTACGCAGTTCTGTCACTTTCTATCTGTCTGTACAGACCTCCAGGTCTCTATGGTTGGTACTGGGATTAAAGGCGTGTGTCACCACACTTGGCTCTGTTCCCGAGTATGGCTTTGCCCACACAGGGACCCTGCCAGGTAAGTGATCAGATTAAGGTCATGTGCTGCCTGACTTTGTTTACTTAAAATGGCTGGCCTTTTCCCCTTGTTCTCCAGGCAAGCTTTATTTATCATAGAACAAATAAAATATCACCACAGTATGTATACGCGTGCAC